CTGTAGAACAGAAGACAGCTAGAAATAGTTGAATATAGAGTAAAAACCCTCATGTTTTGCTATATTTAAACTTTATATATATAGTTTAAACTGTATCGCAAAATGTATTTGCGAAGGCTGTATAGCAAAACATGAGTGTGTGTATATATATATGTATGTATGTATGTATGTATGTATGTATATATGTATATATATGTGTGTGTGTGTGTGTCTGTCTGTCTGTCTATCTATCTATCTATCTATCTATCTATCTATCTATCTATCTATCTGTATATATATTTGCTCATCTATCTATCTATCTATCTACTGTATATATATTTGCTCTCCTGTTTCTTTTATTCTGACTCCCCAAAGGCGTGTTTGATTCGTTTTGGTCTGGGACACGGTGTTCTAATCTAAAGGAAATCAACCCTGAGTTCATAACTGGAAGGGCAGATCCTGAAGCTGAGGCTCCAAGACTTTGGCCATCTCATGAGAAGAGAAGACTCCCTGATGTTGGGAAAGCGTGAAGGCAGGAGGAGAAGGGGACGACAGAGGACGAGATGGTTGGACAGGGTCATTGAAGTGACCAGCATGAATTTGATCCAACTCTGGGACACAGTGGAAGGCAGGAGGGCCTGGCATCCTCTGGTCCATGGGGTCACGAAGAGTCGGACACGACTTAACGACTAAACAAGGACACAGTGTGGGTTAAATTCCAAAATAAATCTATCTGGATAGTCAAATTTGCATGACCTTAACGCACACCACTGTGTTTCTTTCATGTTTGAAAGTGATGAATGTTGGGAGTTTTTGCATCTTCATACACTGCGTTTAATAGGTTTGGCTTGGAGGGACCTTTCTGGGTTCGGGTGACTGTCAATCTATCCAGCACTAACCAATTCTGTCTCTGAATTGAAAGAGAGCCTCGCCTCTCTGCTTCTCAGTTCTTTCCCTCTCTTTAGTCCGTTGGAAGCAGTGAGTCTGTTATTGAAGGCAATAGTATTTGTTAGTTGTTCAGCAGGCGGAGGCAACGAGGCAGTCCCAAAACCACTAAAACCAGGGAGCTGGACAGGGGACAGATTGTATTTGTCTTCAGTGTGGAAGGGATGGTCACTCTCAAATTGGCCTTCTCAGCCACACTAGACGCTGTTACAAGACCTTTATTCAGAGCACATTACCATCGTCTTTTGAGATGGAAGGATGCCTACTCAGTATTTGTTAGTTTTGCTGTCTGATCTGTTCCCAACTATAAGCAAAGAATTTTTTTTCCTCCTATGAATGTCTGAGGGCTAATTATTGAGAAGGTAAGTGGCAGCTGATGAGAAAAAGAGGTGGTCTGCTTTGGGGAAACTTTAAGCTACTCTGCTCTGTGACTCTCTGAGTGTCTGCTGCACAGCAAGAGTGAATTTAACCAAAAGTCAAAACTCTGCAACAAGGAATAGTTATGTATATCAGAAAGTTTGTGACTCTTTGCAGCCCCGGAGCTGGATTTCCCTTCCTTGCAAAGGGTTGATCCATTGGGGCCAAAAGGATCCTAATTTTGTATGTATCCTGTTACCAGCGGGGTCACCATGCACAGACATTCGGTCATGTATAAATCTTCACCGAACTCCAACAAACTCTATAACCACTCTGCTTCTCCATGGGGAGGACCTGAGCAAGATGGCAATTAATATTGTTACCAATTACATGTTATATTGTGCAGCCTGCATAATTAATTTGTAAACCGCCCAGAGAGTGCTTGAAGCGCTATGGGGCGGTATATAAGCAGCACACTTTGCTTTTATATTCTGATTTTCCTCTAGCTAGGGAGATCAAGAATGTAACCCTGAGTTCTGTCCAGCCACCACTGTTATTTTCCCATTTTCATCTTCTTCTTCTTCTTTTTTAGGAATTTTATTTTATTTTAATGATAACATAAATATAAAATACATAAACCAAAAGTACAAATCAACTGTGTTCCCCACCACCATAGACGGGACCTCTTCCAATAATCCTCTTCTTCCTCCATCTATTCTATATTCTTCTTCCCATCTGCCACGATGACCTTGTGGGTCCATTTTCATGTTCACAGCAACACCTTGGATCCTTTTAAGGAGAAATTAAAGAGTATTTTATTTAAAATACTTTTTCCCTGCTGCCCTTCACTCCTGCCCTTTCCTTCCCCCCCTCCCCCTCTTCTCCCTCCCCTTCCGGCTCCAACTGCCACTTTCCAACAGTCGCTCCTCCCTGACCAGTGGCCGAGGGGAGATCGGGCTGAGAGGCGGTGGGGCGGCCCAGAGGGACAACCATGAGGAGGAGGGAGGGCCCCGGTGTTCAAATTGAAATGATCCCTCCCTTCGTCCCACCCCACCATCACAGATACCAATCCCACAGATTGGCTCACTGGGTATGTCCACTGAATCTAGGAGGGAGTCCTCAGATGCCAATAGGGAGTGATGCATGAAGCTGGAATATTATGGCCTCTGTCTCACTGAGCACCGCAGCCATACTCTGTGTCGCCGAGGCCCGCTCTGTCCCTTGTTCTGAGCAAAGCCAACCCTGCAGATGCTGCAGGAAGAAGAGGTGTCTCAGAAACAGGTCCCTGGACAAACACATGGCTTTCTGAAAACCCCCACGGCTTGTGCTGCAATGCCCTCCAATGCCAAACGGGCTTGGAAGGGAGAGGGAGACACAAGCTCTGAGGGAAAGACTGGCGAAGGTTTATGCGCAAGAAGAGGAACTGACCAAGCAGCTATCCTGTTAGGCTTGAGCCCTGGGCCGAGAACCACAGAATGAAAATTGACAGGGAGACGTGCAAAGTTCTCCATTTGAGGAGAGAAACCGAAACCCACAGTGACAAGGTGGGGAAAACCTGGGTCAAGAATACTCTGAGCAAGAAGGAATTGGGGCAAGTCACAAGTGGCCTGTCAGCCACTTGTGTGATGGGGCTGCAGAAAAGGGAATTGCTATTTTAGGGTGCCTTAAGAAAAGGACAGTTTCCAAATCCTGGGATGAACGAGTTCCCCTCTATTCGGCACTGGTCAGGCCTCCTCACACTTTGAGAAGGCTGTAGAGGAGAGAACGAAGGATGCTCTGGGGACAAGAAGCCAAGCCCTCAGAGGGAAGAGACCCCCTGCTTCCTTGAGCAGGTCTACCAACTCCAGGGGCTTCTTCGGCCCCCGCTTCCTCCCCTTTGTACTTACGTCCAGGAGGGAAAAGAGGTGGCCACTGGTGGGGTCCTCCTGGAGCAGGCCTTGGAGGAGAACCTGCATGGTTCTGCTGGTGTTTTTGTAGAAGGTCTGCAAGAAAAAACAGGTGCCTTTATGACCTTGCTGGATTTGCTCCTCGAGGAAGTATTTCTGTCCCAAGGCAGTTGTGCGATGGCTGCCTTTCCCGGATGCTGCCCTTCCCAGACCCCACGCGGTGGTGGACTCTTGCCTGGCTGTGGGTGGAATCAGCCACGGTTGCCCTGAAGGGGGACCTTCACCGAGAGAGAAAGGACAGACGGCAACCCTTTTCCCCACCAACCTTATGTTCTTGCTGACATGGACACAAAGGAAGACAGGAGAAGGACTGAAGGAACACACACACATTCCTACCCCAAGAACCCAAGGCCAGGAGATGGTCTTGCCTTCCCCTCCTGTAGACTAAAGGGGGAATCCTAGGACCTGTGGTCTCTTCCTGCTCATGAACCGGTCAATCATCCACAGTTTGACGGCTGGGAGGGTCTCCCTGCAGGGCAGTCTCCAAGAAGGCTGTTTTCTCTTCTTCTGGGAAGAGCTCCCCAAACACCTAGGAACAAAGAGAGAAGGTTGGGGGGCAAGTTGTGTGTGTGTATGAATCAGCCTCTTTGGGTCCTCTGCTCCCACTCTGAGAAACCTAAAAGATGCTTAGGTGGATCCTCAGGTTTGGAGCCTCTCCCTCCCTTTTTCGCTGCTCTTTCTCGAGTGGTGAAGCCAGAAGCAACCCTCTCGGGGCGGGGGGGGCGTGTCTCCCTGTCTGCATCCTCTGTGGGGGGGCAACTGAATCCAGTCAGGACTAAGCTACAGTCAAGGCCCGCCCTTCCTCTTCCTCCCAGATGATCGGGCTACCAAGTCAAGGAGGAAAGAGCCTTTCCAGGAAGGGCCCTGCAGTGGGAGCACGAAATTGGAAGGTGGTGGTGGTGAGAGACACAAGCTCAGAGGGAAGCACCGCAAGAGCCCATCCTGGCAGTCACACTGTGGCCCCTCTCTCCGGGGGCTTCTTAGGCCCCTGCTTCCTCTCCTTTGCCCTTACCTCCACGATGGAAAGTAGATGGTCTCTGCTTGGGTCCTCCTCTAACTGCCCCCAAAGAAGATGCTCCGCCATCCTGGTGGTGTTCCTGAAGGTTCCCTGCAAGAGAAGTAAGGTGCCTTTGTTGAGCTGTCATCGGAAGAATCCTTAGATGCCACCAGGGAGCATCTCATAAGGCTTGTGGAAGAGCCTGCTAGGGCTGAGGAGAGACCCAGAGGGCACATTAACCCTCCCAGAGCATCCAGCTAGCCATGGCCCCTCACCACCCCGATGACCTTGTGAGTCTTAGCTGGAGATTTGTGCTCCCCAACTGCTTGGGTGATGGGGGCGCAGCCGTGGGGAGGCCTCTGGTAGTTGGTCCCTTTGACCGATTTGCAGAGTGGACCTTCTTCTTCCTCCGGAAGCAGGGCAACCTCTGTCCGAGGCTCTTGGTCCCTTCTACCTATTCCCTCCCTCCTGCATGACAAAGGATGAAGGGAGAGGAATGGAAGGAGCCTCCCCCTGCATTCTGATGAGCATGGAGCATTGAGCATGGAGGCGGCATCTTCTCTTTTAGGGGATGATGCTTTTTATTTTCTTCTTCACAACTCCCACCCACCTGCTAATCCTGACAACTGGAAGCAGGGCAGCCTCTGCCATAGATTCCTCGGTCTCTCCTCTCCTACTTGGTCCCTCCTTCCAAATAGGCTTCTCAACCTGAGCTGCCCAAAGCCAAGACCAGGGCAAGACCGTCTTGCAATTCGCTGGAAATGGGGGATTTTTCCTTTCTGCTACTGATGCTGTTCATGTCAAGCGGCTGGTGGTGTCTGCGCCATATCTTGCACAGGGTGATTGTTCTTCTACCTCCGCCTAGGTCTTAAACGACAACCTAAAAAGATAAAATAATGAACATATGGTTAACATAATTTTAAAAAATAAAATAGTTGAATAACCCTGAGCCTTGCCTACTTACTTATTCTTTAGTTTTTGGGACAGTACTGCAAAATCTGGCCCCTTGGAAAAACTGAAATATCACTGTTCTAAACTCTGCTCTGTGGCGGCGGCCGCGGCGGCTGTTTGTCGCTATAGAAACAACGTCCTCATTTAATGGCTGAAGATATTCATTCCTTTGCTCTCTGAAGTTGTCCATTTTAATACGGCTGGAGTTCACCTCTTGTTCTCAACGGAAGGAATAAAAAAAATATCTCAGCTCCGCCCTTTTAAAGCTGGACCTATTGTTACATCACACCTTGTTTCACAAGGTGAGAGATCACAAAGGACTGTCCAGCTCCCTGGTTTTTCCCAGATGTGACCATGAGAATAACACAACCCTCCCACCCACCCTCCCCTGAAAGGTCCTCCTCAGAAGAGAAAATGTCCCTAGCTCCCGACCTGGCTCCTTCTGACTATCATCTGTGCCCCAAACTCAAAAAGCACCTAATGGGACAATGATTTGGTAGTGTTCTGGAGGCAACTAATGCTGCTAATCAGTGGTGACACCAGTAGTTGGAAGAATTTTATTTGCAGGGACTTAAGAAGATGCTCACTGGAAGGACAGATCCTGAAGCTGAGGCTCCA